CAGAAATCAAACTGTGACCTCCGGGTTCATAGGTCGGCGCTCAACCACTGAGCCACACTGGCCGGGCTATGCTCATTTACTCTGAGTGATGTTAAATTCCTCAATGTTTTCCCAAATTTTCTTCCCAGGTAGTAAAACTTAAAAAAAAAATCCCTGCGTTATTTAAATTGACGTGTATTATATACAGGAAAAGGGTAATTGATCTACAGAGACGTGTGTGTGATGTCAGAGAACCCTCCGCGTTCCCTAACTTCACGCTTCTCGGCTCTGTGGCCTTTTGCAAGAAAATGACTGATACGCGGAAGCCCGTTGACGCCTAACAATTCACTGTTTCACATCTCCCACCGTCATAGCGTACCTGACACACTTTAGAAACAGGAAAATGTGGGGGCAGATGTCAGAATATAAGAAGCCTCAGGAAATCTTTCAATTCGATGTATTTTATTTTTTACAAACTTTTTATTGATTTTTTTTTTAGAGCGAGAGGAAGGGAGCGGGAGAGTGTAACATGGATCAGCTGCCTCCCGCACGCCCCCTACTGGGGATCGAGCCCGCAACCTGGGCAGGTGCCCTTGACCGGGAATCGAACCTGCAACCTTTGGGTGTACCAGGCGACACCCAACCCACTGGGCCACAGTGGCCGGGGCCCCAGGCTCTCTTTCTATTTTCTAGCAATATCTGTCGTGGCGGCCTGTTGCTGCGTGCCTCTCCCTGTCCGTGCCATCTCTCTGCTTGGTTCCATATTTTCATCTTTAAAGATGCATTTCAGGCGTTATTTTCTCCAGGAGCGACCAGATAATCTTAGGTATAGTTTCTACTTATGCCTGAGCTGTCAAATCTCCTTTTGACTGAACTATACTGAAATCATCGGTTTCTGCATGGGGTTTCCCTCAACTAGACTTAAAAGTTCTTAAGTCTGACACCTTAATTTGCTCGTCTTTCTCTCCGCAGAGCCAGAGACTGGGCACACGGCAGGGCCCGAGAAGCGTGTGCTGGTCTGAAACGGAAGGAGGCCCTAGGCCTGTTGGCTGAGCAGTGTGGAGGCCCTCAGAGTTCCGGAGATTTCAAAGGAAGCCAAGAGGCGGCGGGGCGAGCGTCAGGAGGAGTCAGGAGGAAATGGCTTGGCCTGCTTTACGCAGGAGCACGTGGACGGGGCAAAGGAGAACAGGTTGGTTCAGGCCAGGGGCTTGCAATTAGAAGGTGAAGCAAAATGAGAAGATGCTGGAATCTCATAGAAAAAAAATGGGCCAGGACGGACGAGGAGGTAAAGGGCTTTGGGGAGACGTGAGAACTGCCGGTGGGTGCAGGGTGGCTGGTGTAAAGGCTCGCTGGCTCTCAGAGCTCGTGTGGACAGACGCAGGCCCTGCCTGCGGTGTTTCCTCCCCGGTCTCTTCCTGTGCCGGGTAGTTTGGAATCTTCTGGAGTGCCTCTGTGCCCTGCAGAAAGCTGCTTCCCCCAGCTGTGTGGCCCAGGATGGCTTTGCTCTCCCTGCAAAGGGAAGTGTGGGTGGAGAGCACAGAACCCCCCAAAGGACCTGGGCTGGGTCAGCGAGCCCAGGACCCCTGAGGGGGTGGGGCAGCTGAAAGCCGAGTGCTGCTTGTTATTGCACGCCTGGATTGCCCCAGCCCGGCTGCTTTTTCCTGGCCTGCTATTTTATGGAATACTAATTATATCCTAGGGCTACCGACTTCTAATGAGCCGTACCTGGGAGATTAAATTGGCACTCGCTTCTTCTTAGAGGCGTTATTTTTTTTTAAACAGAGCATTTGAATATGCAGATGTAAGGTAATGATTTTTCATTTAAACATGTAATATTCCTCAGTGGACCAACTCATCATTATGCCTGATTATTCCACCGCATTGTGAGCTTTGTTGGAAGAAGAAAACAGCTCATCTTCCTGATGGTAAAAAAAAAATAAAAATTACAAGATAAAATAAAATACATAAACAAGTAAATAAAAGGAACAGACTGAACGTAAGTGACCCTATGTATAAAAGCTGCCCTGGGTTGCTGTGGTAACCAAAGTTCTAAAAATGACAGGAAGAAAAGAACACCGGTTTATTGTGACAAATGACACTCGAAGTGACGGGCTCCTTGCAGCGCCTGCTTGTAATGAACGCAGCTCCGTCAGGAGCGTTAAGACCGAACAGTAGGTTAACGTGGAAGTCGGAGACCTGGCCGGAGGACTTGGTTCAGGGTTGGGCTAATGAGCCAACGCAGAGTCCTGCGGAGGGAGACACCTCTGGGGGAGCAGATGGCTGATGGCGGGTCCCCACGGTCACGTGACCAGCGTGTGCACCGTACCCCCTCTCCTGGGTTACGTATGTATATGTCCAGGCGATGCACATGTCACATAAAACACTACTTATCTATATAAACCAATGTGCAGGGTGTCCCCTCCGCCCCCGGATGTATACACACTTTGCATACTTACTCATTCCAATGATTCTTTTCAGATTTAAGCCATTGGAATGAGTAAGTATTCAAAGTGTGTATACGTTTTTGGGGGACACCCTGTCTATGACATGTGGGTGGGCAAAAGTAGGTTACAGTTGTTCATGTGGAAAATAATACTATAATTCATAAATAACGATACAAGAATGAACTGCTTCCTGTGCTCACAGCTGTAAGCCTACCTTTGCCCACCCCTCTGTGTGTGTGTGTTCCCTGTATGTAAAATATACTCCCCTTAGTAAGCTTTCTCTCACCAGAATAAGATCCCCCAGCGTGTGAGTTCTTCACTAATAGTGCACCTAACGTTAGGGGTGCACTAACATGAAAAATGCACAGGCACCCTGGCCGGGTAGCTCAGGTTGGAGTGTCCTCCCGCTGGGGTTCGATCCCCGGTCAGGGCACATCCAAGAATCAACCCATGAATGTATATAAATAAGTGGGACAACAGCTCTCTCTCCCTCTCCACCGTCTCTCTGTCCTCGGGCCAGAAGCCCCGAGTGGGGGGCAGAGACAGCAGTGACTTGGCTGCACCTAAACTTGTTTTCTCTGAAAGAAATGGCAGTTCCCGTGCGGTGATGGAGGTGTTCGCTAACCTGCTGTGGCAGCCGCTGGGCAATAGGCACGCCCATCAAACACCGTGTTGCACACCATCACCTTTCACAAGCTTCCCTGCCAATTACATCTCAATAAAGCTGCGGAAAGAGTGCTCCCCTTAATAGGGTTCGACTACTAAATATTAATTATAATCGTTTCGTCTGTCATGGACGTAAATTAAAGGATGAGCAAAGACATCAGTACTGATTACACAAACCGTTCCTGGCTGGGGAATCGCTCCACGTCCCCAGGAAGGAAGTAACAACTGTCAGCAATTATATTTAGCGTTCTTCTTGGTAAAAACAATGTACGTGGGCTTTGTGTATTTTTTATACCTGATTCCAAAAGAAGAAAAAAAAGTTGTGGCGTTCCCACACCGGGAGTCGAACCCGGGCCGCCTGGGTGAAAACCAGGAATCCTAACCGCTAGACCATGTGGGAGACGACAAGGGCCGGGCCCAGTGTAAGCCAGTTGAATCGAGTGCGTCTGCTTCCGCCTTCCGCCCTGACCCCGCCCCCGGCTGCGCCGCTGTCCCGCCCGC